ACTCGAACCTCCCCTGTGAGTTGGAAAAATCTAAATTATTTTAGGTGTACTGGTTTTGTCTTTAGCACATGTGTCCAGAAAATTTCCCCCAAATATGGAGTTGAAACAGTTAGGATTATTTTCTCAGAAGAATGTTGCAAGATGCCTTCTTGAACCCTTTGTATTAATTATTAGATCCCTTGGTGTACCCAACAGTGAGATGAGGCTCTCTCCATTTTGGAAGGCTTCCCTGTGGAGGGCCTCCTTTCTCCCTTTTGTCTTCCAAAGTGGTGATGGAGGGGTATGAACAGCTGCCTAGAGAGCCCCCATTCAAGGATTTTAACAGATTGCCCAGTTCAACTTCTATGTACCCCTCTCTTTGCATCTCAAAAGGTGTTTTGAATCCACATGTATTTTGAAAACTTAAAGTTCCATATGAATCATTTAAAAGCAAACATAGCTATTTTAACATTCAAAGTTTATTGTTTTTTAATAAATATGTCTCAGTACCACAGAGAGACTATTGAGAGGGTATAGAAAATTGCTAAATCACTGAAAAAATGTGAGAACACCAAAAAGTTGGCAATCACTGCTTTAGGAAAGATTTGTTTGACATAAATTCAAGTTATTTTTGTCTTGTTGAAACTTTGATGATGATATAATTTTCTAAAAAGATTTAGTAGGGAACTTACAGGACATGTAGGCTGCAAAGAACATAAATATTTTTTACAACATCCCTAAAAAATTATATTTTGTCCTCTGTTCTGGTTATATTTAGTGGGAGGAGATATTGCCCCTAAGTACAGTTTATTCTTTTATTAGAAGGCTGTGTGTTTCAAAGCTGTATTTTGGAATAAATCTTCAGCTCTCCCGTCCAGGCCACACTTCCCTGGTCATTGCACTGATGACTGGGACTTCAGTCCCCTTAGTAGAGGCCATCTGCCTGTGATGGCAGGAATCTGATTTCTCAGTGTGCCACCTTAGAAAAGTAGCTTAAATAAAGGCCATTTGCTCATTATTCTGTTCCTGTTCATTGTCATCTTGCTGCTTCCAACAAAGTTATCTAACCTTTTCCATAGTTTTGGATCTTTTTTCTGTTATCTGTAATATTTACACAGGATTTCTAGTGTGACTATTAATAAGTTGAAACTTTAGAAAGTGCCTTCCATGTGTTCATTTAACAAGTCTGGAAGAACCTAGTGATGGTGCAGAAGATAGCTGCTTCCATTGTTGCCACTAGGTTGGCTTTGGATGTTCAGTCTTTGATCTGACATGTTTTTATCTTTCCCTCAAGAATACTGTGGGAGTTTTTTTTGATACTTTTAGAGGATCTGATTCACATGGTCACCCTATCCACCAAATTAATAAATATGTCAGAAAAAGGAAATTGCATTAGGGTGGTCAGTGAAACCACCAAGTAGACTTTGAGTCATCATTACATTTTTTCCCAAATGCTAATAAACTTATTCTCCACTCTAGAACTGTGATCAGTGTAAGTGTGTTCATCTCTTCCTTTTCCAAAGTATGGCTTATCACTTGATGGGGTCCTGTATTCTGGTTTTGTCTTCTACTAGCCCTCACAATTTCATATAGTAACTTGAGCAGCAGTCAAGTTACTTCAGCAACCAGGGAAGTAATTCATGTGATTCTTAAGACTCCATTGAACTGATCTGAGATGGTCTTGCTCACCACCTTCTAATGGGTCTTAGATAGTGATTCCCTATTTACAAACCCTTATCAGATCTCTCTGGTATTCTCTAGCATGAAGACTGGCCTGCACGCACAGAATTAGCTGAATTGATAACTCAGTAGAAAAGTTTCTGCAGTAAGTAAAATTGTATGTCATCTGATGAGGGAAATACAAATCACTTGGCTTGTCTCTCTCTTATTTGTGATGTCTCTCTGAAAGTGTACCCGATAGCTCCTTCCTGCCTACTTCTGAAGTGGAATGTAAAGGGAAGAGAGCTGATCTTGCCATTATCTGGAAGACAATGGTTTGAATAATAAGAGAACAGCACATGGCAGTGGGGAAATCACTGTGGATGTTGAGCTGTCTCAGTTCCTCTGTCTGTCCCCCAGAGTTCTGTTTTAGGAGTGGGATTCAGAGAGAAGTTGAGAGATGACAGGTGGTAAGCAGTGGAGATTTAAGAGAAGTTTTTAGTGGAATAGTAGGTTGCCTCCTCTACCCTAATTGAGTTAGGCTTTAAAAAGTAGTAGAATGCATTTATTTATTTATTTTTACTTTATGGCATTTATTCATGATGCCAAGGCAGTGAGTTTTATCCTGGTGTAGACCTGTTACAGTTTTCTTCTATGTTCATAGACTGCTCCAAACTCTGACAAGTCTACCTAAAATTGATCAAACTACAAAGAGAATATTAGTCAATCGATTATGAATGAATCAATTGTATCTATCAATATAAGTGAAAAGTGTAAAAACCGCAGAAGCTTATGTTATGTTAGCAGCAGACTAGTCAAACTATATTCATATGGTAATGATGTCTGCCTGTTTATAACTGAAGTGATGTTGTGTACTGTTAAAAACTGGAACTGAAAGATTTACACAGCCTATAAAAATGTAATCGTGGACTACCTTGAACATTTTGTAATACCTCCCCATATATGTTTATTAAAATGTGAATTATCAGAGTCCTTTGACTGTTTGATCCACAGCCTTCTATTTGAGTAGAGCTTCACGTGTGATTCCTGCAAGTGTTGTAGTATTTCCACTCGCAAGGCTAGGGTTTTGTTTATTTGTTTGTTTTAATGGACCAGTTTTCTTCTTAGTTAAAAGAAAATAGTTTGGGAATCAATTTCCTGAGAAAATCTTTAAATGTATACAATGATATATAAGTATCCTAGGCATAAAAATTATTGGATTTTACTTACACATGCTGATGAGTGTGTTCTAGTGGTGTTTTGCCAAGCTAGGAAGTGAAATCAGATGGATGGTGGTGAGTACCCCATGGCAGCACTTACTCCATTTCATTCATTCAGAGTGAGCTATAACTTGGAAGACTTCTTTAGGTAAGAAAGCTGGTAATTTGAAAAAGAAATGATCAGTTTTGAAAAATGATTGCATATGTTTAGGTAGGAATTTTTATATCAGGGTTTTCAAGCTAATAAAAATCAATTTGTCTTGCATTCTAAAATATTTTTTACTGATGCTCATTGATACAAAATTATTTTATATAAAAATTTTGATTTGTGGATGGGTTTTATACTCTGAAAACTGATGTACACAAGAAAAAAGGAAATTAAGATGTCGTTTTTAATAGAATTATTGATACATAATATCCTTTAGTTATTTTATGGTGATTCTGTCAGTGAATTGGCAGTTGAATGATTTTAACAAACCATTTTAACATTCAATCTGTATTGTATGCAGTCACTTTTAATATATAGCACAATCCCTTTGTTTAGAACTCCAGGGCAGTTTGCTAACCCAGCATTTGGATGAAGTCTTTTATTTTTGGCTTCATTGCTTTTCTAATGAGGGGCTGTATTAGGGATAACTTTTTTTTGACAGTATGCTATGGAAATTTTAACTATCAGATCTGTAGGCTACCAAATAAAACAGTTACAAGCAAAATCTTAATTAATGTGCCCTACACACATTTTTTTACCTTCTCCAGGCCACTGTACTTCATTTTAGGGAATTAGCCCTTTAAGAATAGCATATGCTCTGAATTATTGATGTCTTGAGTGTCATATATTTTACATTGTATTGCTCAGTTATGTGCACATAACTGAATTAGTCAGATTAGAACGTTCGTAGTAGTAGCTCTTTTGCCTGATGCTTGAGATACATTTTTTCCTTTTTTTTTTTTTTACCCCAAACCCTAAAGATGACCATTCATTTTATTCAGTGACTTTATAGGTTATTCCTGCTTTTGGGATCCAACTCTGTGTTGTGGTTAAGAAATATTTCACATCAGACAGAGTGACTCACAAGACACAGATATTTACATATTAAATAGCTATTTCATTCGATTTGAAGGTATGTTTGAAATTGTGATGCTAAATCTTCCATATATACATTCCTAACATTCAAGAGTGAAAAGAGGGTTAAATAGTGAACAAAAGTTAAAGAGAATTCAGAACTATTCTTATAATTATTTTATCTCTCAAATAATTGTATACTTAAAACTCTTTGGATTCTTATGTAAAATATATGTACAAGATAACCTTACATACTCGGGAATATCTAGACCTGGAATTTGTTGGCACTTAGTTATATCTCAAGCTGACTGATACCTGGAGAGTCACCCTTTCTTTTTGTTGGGGAAGGACGCTCATGCCTTTGCTATTGAGAACCCAGTGTGCTGCTCGCACAGACTTTGTCCCTGCCACATCCAGCTTCTCTAGAGCTCCCGTCCCGGGTGCCATTTGAAAATTGTCACAGGTCATTTGACTCTTGGTTAGAATTGTACTCAGACTTAAATAATGTAATGAAATTTGTTCAGAATGAGGAAACTGAGGCTTAAGTTAATTTGCTCAGAAATGATCACATGGTTAGTAAATGGCAGAGCGAGGACTTACCCAGATCTATGCTTTCAATTATATTTTACTGTCTCCCAGACCCCCAGAAGTTCTTAGCACAATTGCAGTGTGATAGTAAGAATACAATAAGTGACTAGAAGTAAACTGGGCACATACACTGCTTCCTTGAACTTTCCCTCCTGGAAGCCTCCCCAACCACCCCCTCCCATGTACAAACTCAAACACATGCCATTGCCTTAATCTTCCACTGCAGCTTGTGCCAACTTCGGTGATGGCATATGCCACTGTATTTTACCATATCACCATAGCTCTTTGAGAACAGGTTCCTTCTTATTTACCTCTGTATCCCTACCTGGCACATAGTAGTAGCTTTCAATGCGTGAAAGTGGAGGATTACTGTTAAAATTGTCTTAAGCTGTTTTTCATTTTCTGTTATTGTTACTCCATACAATTAAAGCACAAATATATGATGGAAATGTGGGCGAGATTGTCACTTAACCATTTTTTAATGTTTACAGGATGAAGAGGAACAATTTATCTGTTGTAAATAAAGTTGTCCAGTCTTCACCAGCAGTGAAACAGCCAAAACTTGGGTTCTACTCTTCTCTCAACCAGACTCATGTGTACACTGTTCTGCCAGACTGGGGCAGTTTGCCTCACCATGTGGTGTTACGCGTTTTTCAGTATCTGCCTTTAACAGACCGGGCCCGTGCATCTTCTGTATGTAGGAGATGGAATGAGGTTTTTCATATTCCTGACCTTTGGAGAAAGTTTGAGTTTGAACTGAACCAGTCAGCTACTTCATACTTTAACTCCACGCATCCTGATCTCATTCAGCAGATCATTAAAAAGCATGCTGCCCATCTCCAGTATGTCAGCTTTAAGGTGAGAAAAATAAGCATTAACTAGAAACAATGACTTACGTTTTGTTAACATTTTTGTATAGCTACATCTTTATATTGAAGCAGCCAATGAATTTTGCAGAATTTTTCTCCCAAACTATTTCTTACTTATCTGTTGTTATTTGCATTGATTCAGATGTAGAACTTGAGCTAGAGTTGAATAATTTAAACTTCCATTTCCTTCATGTGGCTGCCATTATTAAAATGCAGGAAATTGTACAAGATTTGGAAGTATGAAGTGCTTAGAAGGTTCATTTGTCATCATCTCCACTTTTCGCTTTTCCTCTGAGACATCATGTATAGATAAAAATACTAATTTATTTTATAGCTTGAAGGGATGAGTACAGTTTGGCAATTAAATTGTATTAAATAGTTAATTGCCAGTAACACTGTGATAAGTTCCATTCAGGAAATTAAGACTTTTAAATTGTCTTTGCAGGTTGATAGTAGTACTGAGTCAGCAGAAGCTGCCTGTGACATACTTTCTCAGCTGGTGAATTGTTCTATCCAGACCTTGGGCTTGATTTCAACAGCCAAGCCAAGTTTTATGAATGTGTCAAAGGTAAAGATGCTAGGCTTTTCTGTGAGATATACTAGCATTCTTAAATATTGTCGAACTAGTCAAAAAGAATTCTTATCCTGAAAACAAACCATAACCCTCTTTGTATTCAAAGAATTATTTAAAGCAGTTTTCTGTTGGCTAGCACTTATTTTTGTCAAATAGCTTATGCATGGTTTCATTCTTTAAATGTATTTTGTAATTTTAATAATTGTTTCACAGTAGATGTCATTACTATAAAATTTAAATATTAGAATTTTCAAGTTCCAGTTTACTTGTTACTTTGAATGTAGCGTGTATGGGGCAAGCAATGGATGTCCTTCCTGTGATTTTATGGTCTCTCCTTAGGAAGTGGGACAACGTAGTATGTAACTAATGTACTGTCCTGGTTAAGATGTTGTTTGAGTCCTTATAGAAGAAATTCCAAAACAACAGTGGCTTAAAAGGCATAACTGAAGTTTATTCCTCTTAACACTGAAGAAATCCATAGGTACCACAGTTTGTAGCTCTTATGAAGTTATTTAGAACCCAGGCTCTGTGCTCTCCAAGGTGTTTTCTTCCTTTTCATTGTCCAAGATGGCTTTGTGAGCTCCAGCCATCCTGTTCTTGTTCTAGACAGCTGGATGGAAGAAATGGGGGGAGAAGGGTATGCCCTCCCCTTTTCAAGCCATCAATATGACAAGACCTGCCCTAAGTCCCACATACTGCTTCTGTTTGTCTCATTGGTCAGCTTGGCTCTGTGGCCACACCAATTTCTGGGAGGTTTGGAGGGTCTTTTAGCTGGGTGGCAGTGTGCCCAGACAAAAATTGGAACCAGGTTACCAAAGAAGAAAGGATGGTAGATGGTTGTTAGGAAGCGGCCAGCAGTCTCTGCCACAGGAACTGTCTTCTCTTCATTCAGCTTCAACTTGATTGTCATTTCCTCAGAGAGGCCTTCCTTGACCACTTTTGCTAGAATAGTACCCTCTCCTCTAGTTACTGTCTGCTGTATTATAATGTTTTGTTTTCTTTATATCATTCGTCAGTACTTGAAATTATTTAACATGTTTATTCTCTTGTTCTCAGACCAAAAACATGAACTCCTTGAAGACAGGGATTCTGTCTTGTTTATTTACCATTATAAATTCAGAACTAGAGTAGTGCCCTATATACAATAAGCACTAAACAGGTTGTCAGTAAAACTGGCTAATGGAAACCTTCCTGTAGAAGAGCTTGGAAGAGTAGTAGCATCTTCTTTCTCATAAACTGGGTCATGGCTCTCTATTAGCAAGCATTTCTGCTAGCCTGTTAATCTTTTCAAGAGATACACGGTAAAAATGGGTCAGTTGGGGATTCAAGTAATGTGAGTGATCAGATAAAAACTTACTGCTTCTAAACAGTTATTTTCTTGTTTACGAGCTAGGGAATCAGGTGAGCCTGGACTTCTTAGATTCTGAGCTCTCTCTTGTGTTGCACTGCCAGCTTCTCGGTTAGCGGGTGCAGTCACCAGGGTGAGGCACCACTGGTGAGCAGCCTTCGTTTCAAGCTCTGCGTCCATGGCAAAATGAGCACTGTGGCTTCTGGCAAAATTGTGGATCTCTCTGAGGGATTTTTTTCATTTGTAAACCGAGGGAAAATAATGTAAAAATAAAGCATTTTGCTAGTCATAAAAAGTCCTAAACTAATATATTATTACTATAATGAAATATGTACTCTAGTGTTTAAGTGTGTCCTTCAGGACTAAAAGAGACCATTGAGAGTTGATTAAAGGGAAAATAAACCTTATATTTGTTTCTTAAGGGAACAGAATAATGTATTTCTACTTCTCTAATAAAGTTTGGGCATCATAAAACTTAAATCAAGAGGTCTAGCCGTCCAATAAAAATCAGTTTACAATAAATATAAACCAGTGTTTTCTAATCAATGAATTAAGACGTAGAACCAATTTGGTCATTCTGATAGGGACAATAGAGCCTTGTATAGGCTCCAAATTGATTTTGAAAAAGAAAACATGAGCATGCCTGGATGTGGTTTCTATACTTTCTATTTGAGTGAAAAAAATGCTGAGTCTAGAAATTTGTGAAATTCTACCCATTTTGAGGTCAAACTGAAAATAAAGTTTAGTTTCTCTACCTTCCAAACATTAATAAAAGTTTTCAAAATGTATCTGTTTAGATAATTTGCTAGCAAAAAGCATGTCACTGAAAAATATGACATCATTTATTCATTTGTTCACCAACAGTAAGTGCTGACCTTTTACATGTGCCAGAGACTGTTTTAGGTGCTGGAAATGCAGGAGTGAATAAAACAGATAGGAATTCTATTTCTTCTAGGCCAGGGGGTTGAATAGGTCCAGACAGTGAAGTTTGAGGCTTTGTGGGTCATACAGTTCTGCTTCACCTCCAGTGCTGCAGTGCTTCTTACCACTAACATTGTAGTCATGAACAGCGCTGTGTGGCTGTGTTACAGTCACACTTTAATTATAGACACTGGAAGAACTTTATGTAATTTTCACATATCACAAAATGTTACTCTTTAAAAATTTTCTTCCAACCATTTGAAAATGTAAAAGCCATTCTTGACTCATGAGCCGTTCAGTAACAAAATGTGGACTGGATTTGGCCAGTGGACCATAACTTGCCAACCTCTATTCTAGGAAATAAATACAATTATGCCCTTTAAATATTGAAAAGAAATCCTTAAGATTGAAAGTAATGGAAGACATGTTTATGAACTCTTTGAAACTTGTTCCTTTCTCACCATTGCATTTATCAGTTGTAAAAGTATAAAACTATACTTTGTTAAAGAAGTGTCTTCTACTGGCTGATGGCTCTATGAAAAGCAGTAATAGGTTGATTGCTTTTGCTACAGTATTATAAGCATATGTTGATATAAATAGTTTTAATGAATTACTTACTTGAAGCTGTAGATTTTTAAATAATGTTTTTATAATTTTTTTCTTAACTGCCATCCAAGTCTCATTTTGTGTCAGCGCTTACAGTTGTTTTTGTCAACTCAAAGTCATTGTCATCAGTCAAAATTGAAGACACACCAGTGGATGATCCTTCTTTGAAGATTCTCGTGGCCAATAATAGTGATACTCTAAGACACCTCAAAATGAGTAGCTGTCCTCATGTTTCATCTGATGGTAGGTTATGTTTTTTTAAGCTTGCGTGATGCTTTTTATCATAGGTAGTAGTAATAATACAATTTCCTATTGAACATTAAATGCTTATGAAACATAATTTATTAATCTTTTTTCAAAAGAAGCCTTAATGTACAAGCTAGATACAATTTAAATTGCTTCTCCTAAGAATATTTTAGTTATAATTATATTTTATTATATGTTTAATCATGTATATCTTGGCATCCGTCTCCTCAGAAATCGTTAGATGAATATTTTAGCAAGTAATGAAAAACTAATATCAAATTTAAATTTATAAAGTGTTACATCAGTATACGTGTTTTTTGTTCTTAAGAATTTTTTCCCATTTCCTGCAGGAATCCTTTGTGTAGCTGATCACTGTCAAGGCCTTAGAGAACTGGCGTTGAATTATTACATGCTAAGTGATGAACTCCTCCTGGCACTTTCAAATGAGACCCACGTTAACCTGGAGCATCTTCGAATAGACGTTGTGAGTCAAAATCCTGGACAAACTGAATTTCATTCTATTAAAAGCCAAAGCTGGGATGCACTTACTAAACACTCCCCTGGAGTTAATGTTGTTATGTATTTCTTTTTATATGAAGAGGAATTGGAGACATTCTTCAGAGAAGAAACCCCTGTCACTCACCTTTATTTTGGTCGTTTAGTAAGCAAAGCAGTTCTGGGACGGATAGGTCTTAACTGTCCACGACTGATCGAGTTAGTGGTGTGTGCTAATGGTTTTCAGGCTCTTGATGATGAACTTATTTGTATTGCTGAACGCTGTAAAAACTTAACAGCCTTGGGCCTCAGTGAATGTGAAGTTAGCTGCAGTGCATTCATTGAGTTTGTAAGACTTTGTGGGAGAAGGCTCACCCAGCTGTCTGTAATGGAGGAAGTTTTGATCCCTGATGGTGATCATAGCCTAGACGAAATCCACACTGAAGTCTCCAAATGCCTGGGGAGAATGTGGTTCCCTGATGTCATGCCTCTGTGGTAACTGACTACCAAAGATTTTAAACTTTTTTTTCATCAGCAAGATTAGCTTCTCTCTGTCTATGCAAATGTAAATTTTAAGATGCGTTACTGAAATGTTTGAGGTAAGATATTTTATCGTTTGCAGACTCTCAGTGGATTACAGCAGAAACAGTTGAAAAAGTATGAGAACTTTGAAAAACCAGAACTTGTAAATAGGGCAAGAGACACTGCTTTGTTGATTAGATAGTTGATATGGTGAAAACTTCAGTTGATTTCTAGAGAAGTTCCTCAGCCTTCCCTGAAGTCATATTTTGGCTTGCTAAATAAATGTGTAATATTGAGCTTTAGATACCTTAAGTTATGTCATTTACAACTTTATATTGTTAATTGTTGCTGTTTCATCTTACATATTTTAAAAAATATTTAGTATTAGAACCTTAGAGTATAAACAAAATACAGATACAGAGGCAGGCTTAATTATATTCTATTTTTAGCACTATAAGATCATATTATGATTCAATAAATAATTTCTAGTTTCCAGTGCACTTTGAATTCTGCTATATTATATTATCTTAGGAGAAAATGGGCATTAGATTAAAATTAAATAATGCTAATTCATTTTATAAAGATAGTGTGATTACTAATTGGTTAAATACACTACTGAGATAAAAAGTAAATTTTTCATGGTGTGTTTGGGAGGGAATCAGCACTTACTTAATATACTTACTATGCATCTGAAACTATTCCAGATCCTTTGCAGAAGTGATCTTATAATTTAATTATTAACATGACTGAGACTCTTTCATGGCTGTGTATTGCCTTTAAAATAAATACATATCCTTAAAGTGATCCACAAGGCCCTACCTGTCTGGCTTCTCCCTGCTTCTTTGCCCTCACGTCCTCCCACCAAGCTGCCCTTTGCCCTTCTGCTCCCATTCTCTCTCAGTTCCTTAAGACTGCCACACATCATCTAGTCCAAGGGCATTTGTACATACTCTTCTTTCTACTTTGACTGCTCCCTCAGCTCTTTCCTTCAGATGTCATTTGCTCAGGGAAACCTCCAGGACTCGCAGCATTCCCTGACTTCCTTTTGTGGCTCTGATCACTGTAGTAATTTGCTCCTTACTTACTTTTATGATTGTTGTCTGCTTCTGCCATTGTGCTGGAAGCTCCATCAGGGCAAAGTCAGTGTTGGGTTTTACTCACTGTTGGATCCCCAGTGTCCAGCATAGTAGTTACCACACAGTAGGCACTCAGTAAATTCTATGTAAGTACTTTCTTTTTCAAACTCGTTCCTCCAAGTCCTCCCCACAATATCTTAAATTTCTAAGAAATCAGTTGAACTTAAAAAAATAGAAATATGTTCATTATTTTCCAGTTTTGAATATTTTTATAGGAAAAAATTTTAGAACTCTCAACTATTAAGAAATTAAAATACATTGTGATTTATAAGTGGTGATTTTTAACAACAGCACAGTTCGTATCCCTTTATTTAGAGACTGTCCTTGGGCATACACTCTCACCACGGTACCATGTTCTTTGTCACTGTGATTCTGGGAGAGCAGGCATCTCATTCACCTTTGTGTGGGACACTCTCAGAACAGTGTGTAGTACACTAGTGATTACTCAAATGCTGGGGTTGGGGGGGGCCAATGTTACTTGTTAAAAAAATAAAGCCCATTTCTTAAAGATAGTTATTACTGTTGCAGATCATGTAGTCTATATCTTAAGGTTTCAGGAGAGTGCAGAAGCAGCATATAATAGGGAACTTAAAGTCTGATTAGAACAACAGGACAGAATGGTGTAAGTGAGATAGAGGGGTCAGTCTGATTGGAGATCAGAGTAGTGGTGGAAATACTGCAGAGATACATCTCTGGTCTCACCTGGTGTTAAGTGTATATACCTCAATGGTAAGGTGATAGAATGCCAGTGGTGTTTGCACCAGAGGATAGCAAAGCAAAACAGAGAGGGACCAGAGAAGGAGGTGAGGTCAAGAGGACGTTCCTCCCTGTAGCCCAGCAGCATTGAGATAATGAGTACCGGTGGCCTCTTCTCCATCAAATGAGAAGTTGCTGCTCCAAATAGTGGTCTTTGGTGTCCCAGTGGTTAAACCTAGTTAACTAAGTGCTATAATGACTCTTAGAGCAAAACTCAGGGTAAAATCAGTCAACTCAATTAAATGGCCCTGGTTGGTCTGTCTTATTGTATTGAAGAGCAAAGATTTTTTAGGATAGCCAAAAGCAAGATGAGGAAATACAGAGTATTTTTGATACTTCATCTAATGAAAATGTCTCCATTACTTTGAAATTCCATGAAAAGTACTGCTTATCTAACATTAGATAAATGAGTGAGTTCAATATTAGATGAATTTCAAGCTTTAGCCTTTGAAAAATATCTTAGTTCTGCAAGCAAACTTGTTCCAGTTAAAATTTCTTTTGCATGTTTTAGAGCGTTCTGGAGAAGTTAGGATAATTTTGTAGGCAGATTGTAAATGGGGAGAGCTTGGGAAAAAGAGTTCTATTGTAGGTTGTACTGAAGAGACACAAATATAGGATTCTCAAATTTTTGTTTTTCGATCCTTATGAGCCTGGCTTGCCTCATTTGTATTTTACTAAATATCAGGGAGATAAGCAGATTTTAAAGTTATGTGTATTGTTGCTAATATGGTCTAAGTATGATAAATGTCACAGAGATATACTATTTCTTCCCTCTCTGGGACTGACCTCTTAAACTGGCCACTTATCTTGTTCTTTCATTAAATTACTTTCCTATAGAAAACTCAAAACATTTTCTAAACAAAAATTGATTTTGTTCACTTTATTAATTTATAGTCATTGAACCTAATATCTGACACCACAATTTTAAGTGTATATTATAATAACTTTCAGTAAGGAAAATTAAGTTACTCAGTGGTATCAGTTCTCTGTCATTTGAACCTTAACAATACTTTTTTTTTTTTAATGGAGGTACAGGGGTTTGAACCCAGGACCTTGTGCATGCTAAGCATGCACTCTACCACTGAGCTATATTCACCACTCTGAGCCTTAGCAGTACTTTAAGCTGAACATTTTGACACTCAAACTTGAAGGAAAAGGAAATTAAAACAAACTAAAAAAACAAACCAAAACAAAACAAAACAAAAACCTTTGACGTAGTGCACCAGAGGGCGCTGTATTCTAGTGCTTCCTAAGAAAGAAGTCCTTTAGTCTGAAGTTTGCATTTCCGTTCAACAGATATGAGAACGATTGTCGAATCCTAGGCAGAAGGCAACGTTCTTGCTCTACCTTGGGGAAGCTCTCCGTTCCAGGTAATGAGTCTGGTCTTTGAAACAATCACTTCAGAAGTTTGATTATTTAGAAGGCTAAACATATATTTAATTGTTCAAACATTTTAGAACTCCTTTTTAAATTACCTTTAGAGTCTATGCTATTTCTTTTTTGTGTGTTCTCAATGGGAGCACAGCCTTTGTCCTTTGAAAACAAACGTAATTTTTGGAAACAACTTTAAGTTATTTGGCACTCAGGAGATGGATGAGGTAGATGATCAAACCAGACAGTGCTGGTTATAGTTTTCTTCCTTTTAACCAAAATGAAATTCTTAATTTGCTAGCCTTGTGGAAGCTGTTATAACACAGTAGAGAGTAGTATCTAACTAGATATAAGAAAGTACTAATTGTGTTGTATACACTCTAAACCGTCCAAGAGTCATCACTGACTCTTCTTCCTGGACACCCACCTGCAAGTCCTGTTGTCTCTGTAACATCTTATTCATAATAGTAAATACTCATGAAATCACCTCCCAACCATAAAATGATAGCATTGATAGTAACTTAAATTTTCCTATGTGGTCCTTCCCTATCTAGTCCTGAGATAACTAGGATTCATTATTTGCTTGATTTCCTTTTTTATATATTTTTATCACATAGATATGTGTTCCTAAAAATTATGTTTTGGCTTTAATTGTCTATAAAAAGAGTATCATGCTATATGGGATCTTTTGGTCTTCTTTTTTACTCAAAAGTATATGGCTGTGATTCATCTATTTTGTTATGTTTAGCTAAGTTTCACTCATTATAACTGTTATATAATATTCCATTCTGGAACTAAACCACAATTTGTCCATCTTACTATTGATAGGCATTTGAGTTGTTCCGGGTCTTGGTATGACAAACAGTGATATCATGAACATTCATCTGAATATGTCCCCATCTATACATGCAGCCTTTTCTCTCCAGTGATAAAATTCAGTTGATCACATTTCGTCTAACATATTTATGATAAATAGAGTTATTCTGCTGGAGTTTTCTGCATTCAAAGGGTTTCAGAAAAAAATTCATGAAGAAAGTTTCCAGAGTGATGAATTCACCTTAAACATTTCTCATTGACTGATGAAAATCTACAGAGTCATATTAGTTTTGGTCCCTTGAACATTTGTGTGGTCTTATTTCCCCTAAGTACCTATTGTCAACACAACCAGGGAAGAATAATAGGGATATACAATGATGCGTAAAAATAAGTGTCTATGATACGCATATGGCTTGAAGAGGCTGACTGACTTGGTTCCATGAGATACTTCAGGTTAGGATAGACCTTTTTCTCTTTCTAGTACTCTCTGTAATTCAGTCTTACTGAAATGTAGAGTACTTCGTATTACTTGGGAGTGCTATCATTCATTACCTCGAAGATCTACCACTTATGCAGAGTGTGAGAATGTGTGGCTATAAAGACCAGCAAATTCTGACTTATTCACATAAGCTTCTCACCATCCAAACAATTTGACAAACCT